CCCGTATAAAAGATTCGAAGTGAATAACCATATCCTCCCCTATACTCACAAAGCCTGGCATTTCGACGACGGAACCATAAAGTGCCCGGTCGCAGATTTGAAGAGGGAGGATCTGGTAGCACAGAGCATTTCTCGGGGAACCTGAACGTCAGCGCATAGCCTAAGCAAACGCGAGGACCCGAAACATGGTTTTGAAACCCGACGAGAAAAAAAGCGGTAGCGCGAGAAACGCGAGGAGCACGAGCGGACATTACGCTCGGGAGAGGTGAGTTTCGGCGTCTCGCCGCAGCGTGGCGCCCGTCACGTGGCTCTCCTCCAGAGCCCTGTATAGAGAGAGTTTGGTCAATGGAAGGCGCGGGCAGAGCCAGGGCGCGCACAATGCGTGCACTAGACGCAGAAAGGAGGCTTGACATGCTGTCTCGGCCAACCAGAAGCCGAAAAGAGTCCCCTACTCGCGGTTGTAGCGAGAAACAGTTTTAATCGTTGTAATAAGCGCGTAAGATTTAAATGGAGTAACCCTTCATGGTTGAAAATAGGATGCACGCGATGTTTTAATCATGATCATGCAGAAAGATGTAAAAAACGAATGTGCCGCTCAACTCTGTTTTGCTCGCATAGAATGTGACCGCTCGGACCGCAGATTCCCGGCCCTCGGCGCCTGGCGTACGGATTATGTCGATCGTTCCGCTAGACGCACTCTTCCGCCCTGATTTTGGATGACCGTGATTGAAACATCACTTGCACCATATTTTCAATCACCGGGAGTTACTCCGGCGCACTTATTAAGTTTGTTTCTCGCGACCACCGCCAGGGTATTATTTCCCGCTTCTGGTTGGCCACATCCGAATTTGTGAAGACGCCCTGGAACCCGCCCAGCCCGTTTTCGGCCAATGGCGCCTCCTAATTTGTCTTCTACACTTCCCAATGAATGGCCAAACTCTCTTCATATACCGGCTCTGCTCTCCTCTCATTCGTTGTCTGCCGCTCTACCTTTTCAATTTCGGCGACCGCTCCTCGGGATGATCTGCCAGGCTTTTTCAGTATAAAGGAGGCTATGAAATAACAAAAATAAAGCGTTGACGAACCCGTGTGCAAGATGCCATTTGGTTTAGGTAGGTTTAGGCATTTGCTTTAGAAAAGCTACTACTGCTGAGGCCAGCACGTGCGGCGCGCGGAACACCAATCTCTGCACTCTTCGTGATGCTTGGGTAATTTAGCAATAGGTCTATTGCAAGCATGACGCCTCACTGGTGTCCCATGCGTGCAAGTATGTGGAGCGTGCTCGTGAAAGTAGCTTTGGCAAGCTTGAAATCGCGCGCGCTTGCCCGCACGAGCAGAGACATGGCGGCGGCAAGTTGCCGTGCTTGCAATCGTTTACATGTTAAAACTTTTACAGTGCTTCCGGAACATGCATTCCTCACCGTCAAGATTGCCTTTCTTTCTAGACGTTAGGTAAGAGCTGGATCTGAGGATGCGGGGACCTCTGTCAGGCCAACCATATACTCTCCCCCCCACCCTCCCGGGATACGCTGTGAATAGCGCGCTCAAATATGGCACCCGGTGAATACCTCGTACACATAGCTACAGTGTTACATAGCTTACAAGTGTCGCAACTGCTGGGTATTGACGGTTATTTTTACTTTCTTGTTCCCTCGAGCTACGACTTCAGCGGTGTGAAACTAACACGATGAATCGAACGCTCCTGACTTATAAAATACCGGCATAGCCGCAGATGACGTTACGGGCAAGCTGGGTATAGGCCATGGGGCGTACAGTCTTCGGATATTACTACTAGGTGAGATTGTTACGCGGAGACGCCGCCAAGCGGCAAGGCTTGAAACTGCATGGTACCCTTGGCCGTGGCATGAACCATTGACGTCAGGAGCGCGATACGCATTGCGCTTCTCGCTGGCCGACTTTGAAGCGAGGGGTAGACAGCTCGCGCTCACGTCATTTCGTTTCTGTACCCCTTTAAATGGGCCATAAAACGATATCGAATTGGATATCTCATGACTTTGCAGAGGCATAGTCTAGGCCAAGTATTCGCTCTTTTTCGCGTGAGTTGAAACGCGGTGGCGCCGGTGTGCTAATTGCCCCCCAAACACTTCCGGTCCTGAACGAGACTGAGGGATTTTTCAGTATTTACGAAATCAAATAGACACGCTATATTCTGGAGATAGCCACTTATAGCACTGCCCAAAATAATTCAAGCCGCCTCAGTGGCTCCGAGGCGAAAGCGCCGGCCTACGGATCCCCATGTGGCGGGTTCGAATCCCGGCTGAGGTGCCCGCAATCTGACGGAGGCTTTTTGCGGAGGAAGCGCCGTGTAACCGAGCTTTCGGTTGCACGTCAAAAGATCCCAAGGTGGTCCAAATTAATCCTCAGTCCTCCGCTGGGGCCTGCCAGATGCCCGTCGTAGATTTGGCACGTAAAACCCCCAAATTTGACTCGAAATAATTCACTCATATGATAAAAGAATGATGGGTAAAACATTCGAAAATGTACGAGGATCGCAAGTGTGCCTGGGCTTCCCAATAGGTGAAACCACTTAGTTTATTGTCAAAAAAAAAAAAAAAAAGCGAAGACTCGCAGTGACCGCCACTGATTCTGCTTCTTTGTCACGGTGAAATTGCGAGGACAAAAGTGAGCCATATCTTTTAGTCTTGCCTTCACAAAGCTTGATGACGTAATTGTAGGGTCGAAACCACCCTCATGACGACAGTCGAGCGCGGTTCATTGATTGGACACGAGAACTGCGTGAGCAATCGACTTCGGCTCGAAACAATCAATGTCTCGGCGGACACTCGGGTAGTGGCTCGTGTTTAACTGCTGCGACGACGAGGATGGCCGAACTCTAATAACGCCTGGAGCTCAGCACGCATTTTCTACTTAGTCAACCCCAGAGCGTGGTTATGATTAACGTTGGCAGGCCACGTGACCGCTCGTTCTGGCTCTGAGTTGAGCGGATGAACGATGCTCATATTTTTCGAATTTTTTTGGGCGACTGTTATTGCCTAGAAAGAACAACTAAGGCAGGTTTATTCAATTATTAACGATAGAGAGTTATTCTCAGTAGTATTTAGCGAAAGTAGAAAAGTGTTTTATGACCCCACGCCGCGGGACGCGAAGCTCATTCAGATCGAAGCTTGCGAAGATTGATCGCAGGATCCCTAGGTTCCACAGCACGACTTTTCGATAAACCTGCTCCGAGCTGCGGTACGTTAACAAATGCAGCCACCGATTCCCCCGATTCTCGGCAGGTGGTCGACGTGTTGGAATCACTCTTTTTTATGCTGGCTGGCTAAAACGTATGCTCAAGGACAAAAAACTTTTTTTTTTTTTTTGTACATTGTCGATTTTGGCAGTTTTTGTTGGCATAAAATAACAAAGCATCCGTGGCATGAAATCTAAAAAAAAAAAAAAAGAGAAAAATTCCCGAAAAGTAAAGAAAAGAAAAAAGCTGGAGTTTTCCTCGCGAAGTTGCGGGGGAGAGTCTAGTGCATTCCTGCTTTCGACCGTTGGGCATTCAACCCCAACGGTCCAAGGCAGGAAAGCAGAAGCAGCTGCCTCTCTAATTACGCTCATCAACCCACCGCCCAGTTTTTTCCTCGCGGAGAAAGGAAGTCAGAGTCCTTGGAGCCACCCGCCCCTCCTCCTCTTCCTGCGACGAGGACATGGTACTGCTGTGAAAGCGCGGCGTATGTTTCATGCATGAAGCGACCGATTCCTCTGCCCGGGTCGCCAAACCCAGGCTGCGCCAGCCTTCTAACCCCTAGAGTTTCAATGCCTCCTCGGTCTGGGACCAGATGGCTATTAGTCGGGACTCGGCGAAGAGTGGTCCGAGTCCCGCTTGGCCGCTTCCTTGTCGTCTCCGGACTGTTTGCTCCGCGGCCTGTTTGCATGACCGCCCGAGTTCCACGAACGCTTGATTTCTTCGAGATCGACTCGCAACGATGGCAGTCTCGAGTCTAGCCATACCGAGATGGCGGTTTAGCCGGTCCAAATTCATCTTCGGGGAATTTACATGCCCTAACAATTGAGTAAATAAATATAAAAAAAGGTCGGCGTTACCACCACCACTGTCCAGGCTCGTAGAAACTCCGTAGTTTTTACGAACGAGGTTCCAAGAATAACTCTAAAGCCGGGGTCACACCCCTCGTGCATCATACGAACGACAGTCTGCAATCACGATTCACCGGAATATCCGTGGTTTGAATGCCGCGTGCCAATCTTTATCCTTGAACTCATTGCCATGCGGCATTCGAAGCACAAATCTCCTGGTCACTCGCGTTCGACTCTGTAGGTCAGGGGTGGCCAGGCTGGCCTGGCCTAACAGCCGCAAACAAAACCACGGAACTTCTAAGAGCCGCGGGGGGGGGGGGGGGGGGGGGCAAATTTAACTTTTGTTCAGAGTCTGACTGTGCGTATGGATGCACAAGGCTGCCAAACTGCAAGCTGCAGTGTGCTTTATTCTGAAATCCTCTTTTTTTTCCTGGGAAAACGCGGAAAGGGGCGAAAGGGGGGGGGGGGGGGGGTGTTTCCTTGCGAGAGATCCGCGAGCCGCAGTTGGACCAGCAAAGAGCCGCATGCGGCTCGCGAGCCGCGGTTTGGCCACCCCTGCTGTAGGTAGACTGTCTTTTGCATGATGCATAAGCACTGTGATCTCGGCTTTTAATAGACGTCGAGTTATTTGAATGAGCTTATGGTGTTTTTCCCCTGAATCTTCGAAATAGCGTTTAGTCAAAGGCAAAAGTTTTTTTAAAATTATTTTTATTAGATTAACGCGCGAAAGTGACGTCACGCCTCCGCGATGGTTCTGCGGTTGGCACCGCGCATGCGCAAACAGTTCTCCTCACTTGAATTTGGTTTCTGGGCATGACCAGTGCCCGCCACGTGGCGGGGGGAAACGCGGGCTTCTTTGTAAACAACGCGTTGGTGTACAAAGTCCGCAGAGGGACGAGATAACTCCCAGTGATGATGTGCTTTGTTTCTTTTTTCAGGCGGAGACGCTGACGTTCCTGTGGATACTGTTCGCCATGATTGTGCTTGGAAATAGCGCCGTGCTGGTGGCCCTGACGCTCTCCAAAAGCAGAAAGTCCCGAATGAATTTTTTCATCATGCATCTCGCCATCGCCGGTGAGTTCTCATCGCCCTAAAGCGGTTACTTTAGCCCATCAAAGCTGAGGAAGGTGCGACCAGTGCCGTGAATATTATGCGGGCTCTCTTTGTTATCTATTCACTAATTTCCGTATCCCAAGTTCGTACTCCCCATATAGGGAATATGGATCGCAGTTAAACGATGCGTCTAAAGTGCGCCGCAGGACGTGATATTAGCGATGTCACTATAGCGGGAACGACATCTTCTTTTTTTTTTTTATTTTTTGCTTTAGAAATGTTTTGCAATATGTACCAGTAGTATTCTGTTCCTTATAGTTAAGCTGCAAAGAAGAACCATACGTTTTTTCTCAGTTTTGTGCTGTTGCGTGTTAATGTTAACGACCCTTTCTGCTAAACCAGATTTGCGCAACTGTCACTGACGTCGATACAAACTACACAATGCGGAATTATCTTCAAAAGTAATTGAATTACATTTCTAAATATTTGTACTCTACTCAAGATACTTCACAGTGCAAGTAACTTGAGTAGTACTTGAAATACTTTATAGAGCAGGCATTTAATCACCTAACTTAAAAAAAAAAAAACTTTATCGAGTATTTTGTTCAACACTGGTTATTACACAGCTGTAAACAATGTATTGATAGTGCTGCAGCTTGATACATGAGCGTGCATTAAAATTTCAAGGTACTGAGCGCTGTGAAAAGAGCGAGGAGTTCAGAAAAAGGTGGTAACAAGAAAATAGAATATAAACAGCGATGCATTCTGGGAGCCTCGCAAAATGACAACAGTTCTTCAGAAATTCACACAAAATATAATAAAATCTAACGGACGCGTACCTTACATATTTATTAATCTGTCCTCCTATTAAGTTTATATATATATATATATATATATATATATATATATATATATATATATATATATATATATAGACGTGTGTTTCACGAAAAGTGCACAAATTCGATATTGCGAAATCTTCTCATCGCAAGGAAAAAAGGCTTGTGTCGTTTTGGTCCCGGGCCAGGGTCCTATTTAGGAGAATTATTAAAGTCCGGGATAAATAGATTGTGAATTATTTTCGTGTGATTAGCCTTTTCAATGTTGTGTTTAAGGGCATGGTTTCAATCAGACAATTGCTCAGCATCATCAAAAAAACACTGAATCAACAAATTGCAGAACGATAGAAGGCACGCGCAGCATTTTACGGCTTTCTGAAAAACCGCACAAATTCGACGGGTTTTTAAGTTTCGGTTTGCAATCGGAGCGCATCTCGGCCCCCACGGCACAGCGCCCCGTAGAAAAATAATGCAACCAAGCTCTGTTGCGCTGTCCTGCGTAGTTTTTGCAATATAGAATTTGCCCGCCTTTCGTGAAACACCCTGTATATATATATGAAATGCGAAGACGACGAAGCTTGCTCTTAGTTGGCGCCTGGACATTGCGTTCGTATTTCTGGCAGTTTTTGCTGTTTTGCAACTTACCCCGCGGCAACAGAACACTCTCACTGTCTCCTGCAATATCACCAACACCTCGACTGCAGGAAGTATCCTCGATAAACCGAAGGGTTTCCACCCGATGGTGCTCTGGACGGCACCGATCCGGTAGGCCTGATGGAATCCGATGATGCCACCTCGAAACCAATACTCGCCCCTGCTCGATTCGACATGACTTCTGTAACGCACACCACGCAAAACTTGCAGCCCAACATTTTGACGACTACTATGAAGTACTTACCACCTGAGGAATACGACACTGACACGGAAATTGAGACCTTCTCTGAAAAAGAAAAAACCGACGACGAAAACGATGTCGAAGATATGGAAGAACTGTATGCTTCTACCAATGAAGAGTCGCAAGATTCCGACAACCAGTACAAGACGGTTGAATCACGCAAACGACGCAGGGAGAGTACGGACTCAGAATCAAGTTCTCCCAAACCAGCAATCAACTGCCAGGCTTTTGGGCTCACCGTCATATTTACACCAGACGACCAAAACACCAACATCAAAAGCTTCAACCCTATCAAGCTTTCGGACTGCTTGAAAGCCAACTGTCCTGATGGAATTTACAGCATTCGACCTAACTCAAGGCTGAATGTGATTGCTGTAGACACTCGCAATTTAGATACAACAAGCACTTTACTGCGTATCAAGTCCCTTTGTGGGGTTCCGGTGAGTGCATACGAGCCCCGCTCTAAGAACATGGCAATGGGTGTCATCCATGGAGTACCAGTAGATATCAACGACAGCCAACTAACTGAGGCACTACTCTCAAAGACATCAATCGTTCGCATCCGAAGACTGGGAAAGTCACAATCTGTTGCATTAACATTCGCATGCCCAACTCTACCCGATGCGGTATGTGTAGGCTATGTGCGCCACAAAGTATATTTATACGTGGAAAAACCAACACAATGCCGTACTTGCGGTCGCCTCGGACACGTAGCTGCATCATGTGCATCTTCGTCTATTTGCACAAAATGCGGAAAAACGCACGACTCGACATCCTGTCCAGATGGACCACCCAAATGTGTCAATTGCGGACGTGACCATCCCTCTACTTCTAGAAGCTGTCCAAGATGGCAAGAAGAAAGGGATGTCGTTCGTTACCGGGTTCTTCACGGAAGCGACTATCCAACAGCGAAGGCAGCAGTAAAAGCTGATGCCTCTGAACACAATACCGATAACACATCTGGTCCCGGACACGGTCAAAAGTCAGCAGGAAGCATGCCAGTGAGTAACAAGCCACATAAACAACCAATTCAAGAGCCGCCCCCAGCATCGCAACCTTCCCAAAGAAAGGAAAACAAAAAGCCACACGATAAACCAGGAAGAAGTACACAACTTAATACAGACGACTTCGAGTCCTTTCCGCATCTCCCAAACACAGTACCTACGACACAAGAAGACCTCGCTCACAATCAACCTTCTACATGGAAGGTTGTAAGTAACATTACCACCAACCTTGTCAAGAGTGCCTGCACTCCACAACCGAATGCTGCAGCTGAACCACCACCACCTGCGCTGGGCATCGGAAACATCTTTTGTGCTGCGATCAAGGCCTTACGTGGACTGCTTCAACACGTGTCTTCACCCATTGCCATCTACATTGTCCAACTCATTGACACATTTACTCCGCTCCTGCAACAATGGTTGAGTTAACTCAACTGTTACTACTTAATTACCATTTATTATAATTATGACAGCACTCACTATGGATGATAGATACAACAATGCGACTATATTCCAGTGGAACGCGAGAGGCCTAAGGGGGCGTCTATCTGATCTCAGGCAATTTTCACAGAAGCATCAATTTCCTGTCATGGCCATATGTGAGTCAAGGCTTCCAAACAATTTTCGTTTTTCTGGGTATGAATATCTTTCTTCAACCCGGACTACAGGACCAAGTAGAGTCATCCTTCTCCTGCGCAAAGACCTCAGTTACGTGCATCACGCTATTCCACCACATCAAGATAATGAGTACATAGTGGCTACAGTCACTGAAGGCAAGGGCAACTTCACCATCATTGCTGGGTACATCCCACCGAAAGCTAAATTTGACGAAGGCTACCTCACTGACATTCTCAGCAAGTACCCGTTGCCATTTGTCTTAACAGGTGATTTTAACGCCCATAATTCTGTATGGGGCAGCACGCACACCAACCCCCGAGGTAGGAGATTGGCCGATATTGCTGCCTGTCACCATCTCTGCCTAATGAATGACGGTAGCCCTATGTATATACAGAATCTTAAAAGTAGCAGCTGCCTAGACCTCACATTCGTTTCGCCATTGCTAGCATCTCAAGCAACATGGTTTGCCGACACTGAATCAAGAGGTAGTGACCACGTGCCCACCTATGCGAGGCTTGGGAATTTTAGAAATATGAAAACTCATCATGAGATTAGCCATATCAATTGGGCAAACTTTCAAGAAAAAATGACCGAGGAATGCAACCAAGAGATGGACTTACCATCATTCACAGAAGCCATCACTCGTTCATTAAACCAATCAAGAGAGCAAACAACCTTACCGATTAACCAAACTACATTCAACGCCGAATATGAGCGACTTCGGGCTATTCGCCGGCGTGCTGAGAGGCGAGTTAGAAAGCATAAAAGGCCCGAGGATTTACGTGAGTTCCGACGAGTAACTAAAAAAATCAAACGTCATTTGAACAAACTTGCAAAACGTCGTTGGCGGAAAATGTGCTCAAAACTTGATCCAAGGAAACGTACTAAGAGAATATGGCAAATATCAAGAGGTCTTCGAGCAACACCGCAACAACGCTATCCGTTTCGGGCACTAGCTCTATCGATGCAGTGTTCAGATATAGAGGCCGCGAATCAGTTCTGTATACGAATTACGCAGGCGCAGTCTACACACACAATCACACCGAAAACACCACGGCCGACACCACCGTCAACTCTGTCATGCATGGACGTTGATTTCTCTCTGAACGAACTCGAATCTGCTCTTGCATCATGTAGGCAGTCAAGCTCACCTGGACCAGATGGTGTTACCTACTCGGCAATTGCACGACTCGGACCAAGTACAATCAAATGCCTTCTTCGACTCTTCAACCAATCCTGGAACGAAGGCGAGGTGCCTACATCATGGAAAGTCTCTCAAGTTATACCGTTACTAAAGCCAGGTAAATCACCCCTTACCATCACTTCCTATCGACCCATTGCGTTTTCAAGTTGCATAGGCAAACTCATGGAACGTATGATTTTGGCGCGATTGGAATGGCATTTCGAACATCATGGTCTATATTCAAATGAATCGTCAGGCTTTCGACGCGGCCGGTCTTCAATAGACGGGGTGATTGATTTAATTACATCGGTTGAACACGAAAAATCTCAACGACGAATGATCACAGCCGTATTCTTGGACATCAAGAGTGCCTTTGACTCTGTGACGCATGATGCTATACTTGACGCACTAGAAGAGCTAGAAATAGGAGGGCGACTCTACAAGTGGATCTCCAGTTACTTAACTAACAGGGCAATTTTTGTTGC